TTAATTAGGCGAGTATTTCTAAATAATTGTATGAACACAAAAGGGAAAACTTACTAGTTCTCTGGGCAAGTGCAACATTTTAAGAAATAGATTTTTTTTTCCCTTGGATTCGATGACCTAAAATGTTTGTTTTAGGAAGATGGGTTTGAGCTTTGTAAGAGCAGAGCCAACTGCCTGCAGTAATTCGAGCCAAAAATTCATGGTTTGCTGACTGTCTAAATTACCTGGCTCCCTTCACGCCTGGTCTCAGCTACTGTACACACTGGAAGGAGACAGGCTTTAGAAAGGCAATATGGGTATTACGTTAATTTCAAACAATCTGAAAACGCAACAGTAACGGCTTTGGATATCAGAGAAATCCGCTAGATAATATCAATATGTTGGCAAACCATAGCTTTTCTGTGCTAGGATGAAACTTTAAATGCATAAATTACAGCCTGCTTAAAATGTCCTTTATTTAAAGGATTTGCATCATACCATGAATAAGTAAAACTGATACTCACCAACAGACATTGTACTTTATAACATTTGCTTACAGTTACTATTTGGAAAGAGTCAACTGTATTTTCAATGTGACCATCAAGTACTCTCCATGACAAATACATATTTAGTTTTTGATGCAAGTTATTGAGAGGATGACAATAAAAATCTAGCTTGCAAGCAAATCTAGGAAATAAATTTATTATAGGAAGCAAGGAATTTGGAAGATGACTGTTTGAACCCTGGCATTACCAGCTACCAGTTGGTAAGATGCCTTACCTTTGGTAAATTACTTTATCTAACTTCCACCTTTCACATATATTGAATGAAAATTTTGTAAACAGACACACAAAAACACAGACATAAAAAAAAGTAAAGATGAAAACACTTTGTAAACTGGAAATAGTAACCAAATGTCAATCACTGTTACCCAGACAGGCAAGTACAGATCCCTGAACTTCCTGCTGTGTTATGCCTTTCTGAGAAACACAAATGGTATTTTTAAAATCGGGTTTTCCAGCGTAGCAGAATCAAGAAGAAAGAGACGGTTTGATTTTTATCCCCCTGTTGGGCTGCAGGGATTCTTGGTGGGTGCAACACTACAAGGCTTGCATTGCCTCCGTTGTAGCCGCCCCACTGGTTGAACTCACAGCAGCACTAATTAGCTGGAAAAAGCGTTGGTGGCCAATCCAGAAATTCTGTCTCCAAAACTTGGAGTTTTCAAATTCACTGTCATGCTTTGGGGACAATTCATCTGTGTAGGCTGACAGGAGTTTGGGAGAAGCTTCCAGTAAATTAATATCACAAGTCTGTTCAGAGAAAAACCTCATGGCTACAGAGAGTATCTGAAAACAAAACAAACAAAAACAAAGTGCTTTTTTTCCTTGGCTGTAGAGGATCAGCTATTCTTATCAGCCGTTCTCAACTCCTGAACGGCATTAAACGGATTTTATAAAAATGCTTTATATAAATAATTCTTTAAGAGCAACTCGGTATCTACAAAGTCACTTCTGTTTATAGAAGCTTATTTTTTCCCTTTCTGGATTTTAAATATATTTCACGACTGCCTGAGTAAAAGGTTACTGGAACAGATAAAGATGAAGTGAAAGAAAAGGAAAAGCCTTGATCTTGGTGGTGTGAAGAGCCTGTCCTATTTCACGGGGACAACCGTCGCAATGCAGGTGACAGTGGCTGTGACCTAGGAGTGGGGGCCGGTGCAGGAAGATTTTTCAAATTTTCAAACAAAATGAAAGCACGAAATTTTAATCGAATTACTAGTGCTGCTTACATACTAGAAACTAATTTTAAAACCTGCTTGTAAATAGTAACAACATTTAAAACCAAAAATTTCAACACAGGTAGTATTGCCAATAGCTATATAAAAATATAAAATTCCTAGTCATCAGTGTGAAAAAATATAATGAAGACTGTACATTGATAACCATGAAACTTCCATAAACAATCCTTAAACCTAAATATGAGGCGCTGTATACTACATTTACGAATATGAAATCTTAATGTTTTAAAAGTTGTCGTTTTTCCCAAATCAGCATGTAGACTTAACAAGGATAATCCTGATCCAGTTAAATCCAGTTTGTGTGCATGTGTGTCTTCCCAGCCTTCAGAACTGCGGGAAGTAAATTTCTGTAGTTTGCAAGTTCACCCGTCTGAAGTGTTTTGTTCTAGCAGCACAAACATGCTAAGGCAACGATACACATGGCCACCAGGCATGTGAAAAAAGTTCAGCATCACTAATCATCTGGAAAATGCAAATTAAAACCATGGTGAGACATCACCTCACACCCATCAAGGATGGCTGTTATCAAAATACATAAATAAAAGCACAAGAGATAACAAGTCCTGGTAAGGACGTGGAGAGAAGGGAACATTTGTACGCTATTTTGAGGAACGTAAATGAGTAGAGCCATTATGGGAAACACTGTGGAGGTTCCAAAACAAATTAAAAATAGAACTGCCATGGTGACCTAGCAATCCCACTACTGGGTGCAAATCCGGAGTAAATGAAATCAGTAGGTTAAGGAAATATCTGAACCCTGATGTTGTTTGTAGCATTATTTTACAACAACCAAGATATGGAATTAACCTGTGTCCATGAACAGATGAGTGAATAAAGAAAATGCAGTATATAGAGAAGAATGGCATTCAGCCTTAGCAAAGAAGAAATTGCTGTCATTTGCGGCAGTGTAGATCAAACTGGAGGACATCGTGCTAAGTAAAATAAGCCAGACGTAGAAAGACAAACAGTGCATATTTTCACTTACATGGAATTTAAAACAGTTGAACTCACAGAAGCAGAGAGTGAGATATTGGCTAACGGTTACCGTGGCCTTCATCCTTCCGTGGATAAAACCATCTGCCTTCTCCCTTGGATAAAGTTGCCAGATCTGATGTGTCTTGAGCTAATTCTGAGTTTCTGTGTCTATGTATAGGGAACTATGCAGATTGCTGGGGACCTATTATATCAACGTTTTCCACCAGACATTAATACGGCACTGTTGCAATGGCATGGGAGGAAAAGACAGAAAAGGGGCCCATAACACAGGGAGAAGCCCGAGCTAGGAACCCTTCTGCCACCTGCTGACCGCCCGGCGGGGTGGGGAGAGGCTGCAGTCAGCAGGGACGGGCAGAAGCCCAGGAGGCCTTGGGGCCGTCACACAGGGGCTGCCACATCCCCCGAGAACTGTCAGTAGTGACCCCGAGGTGCCCCCAGCTCTGCTGACTCAGCTTCTGCAGAAATACGAATACCCAAACCTCACCTCCAGTCCCTGGATACTCCCCGGGCCTGACCCAACTCTCCAAAACTCACAGGAAAATCGACTGTGAATGTTCTAACTAACTCCCAATCTAGAAAATAAAAATTCAGAGGAATATTTCAAATTTCTAGAAAAATATGGGTGTGCATAACTTTGCCTCATATTATTCGTTTTCAATGTCACGAAACATACATTCTTCAATATGTAGACTAATAACCTTAAAATAGAATATTAGAATAATTTATTATATTTTTATTCTGTTACTTAAGGAAACTATTTTTAACTGACGAGCTTGTTTCCCATGGTTATACTGCCAGTACAGTGTAAGTAGCGTTAACAGCAGTCAATGCACAGGTGTGTGATTTAGAGGGCCCTACGTCTCCACAGGAAGAGCTGGGAGCCGTGGAGAATTATTCCCACGTCCTGAAACCTCATCCTGAAACCTCACGTCCTGAAACCTCATCCAGGTTCTCCCCACGTTTGCCCGGCTGGATTTCAAAAGCGCCATGGACCAGCGACCCCTAATGCCCACTGTCGCCGCCCTTTGCCTGCCCCCCATTCTATGTTGGGCAGGATGGAGAAATGGCGAATTCTTCCAGTCTCACACATCCACAGCTGGGAGGAATTGTGCCAGGAGATTTGCTCGGCAGAACTGCACCCGGGAGCCCCACCTGCGCCAGCTCTGGACCTCAGTGACGCGACGTCGGATTCTGAGTGGCCTGAGGTGATGGAGCCCCTGAGGACCTGGGACAAGGGCGCACATTCTGAACGAGGCAGGGACGTGACACGTCCTGCATGTGGCAGGGATGTGGCCTAGATGGACTTTCAGGTGGGGCCCACGGTGCCCTGTCACTCAGTGCTCACATCCTGCCCTTCGAGCCCGGGGCAACCGGCGACTGACTTTTAACCAGCGGGGCGCAGCACACACGACGGGTGTCCCTTCCGTGGTGACAGTATTTTGTACAAGCCTCGTTCTTGCTAGTTGACTCACCCTAGAGTCCTGCTGTCCTTTCTGACTTTGGAGAAGCAAGTAGCCATGCATCTCATAATTCTAGGAGCTGGATTCTGCTGAAACTCTAAACTGAGTGAGCTTGGAGGGGGAACCTTCCCTGGCTGAGAACCCCATCTTCTGATACCCGGATGGCAGCCTTGCGAAGACCCGGCTTAGCTCCGTCGGGACTCCTGACCAGAGAAACGGGGGAGTAATAAATACGTGTTGTTCTAAGCAACCGCGTCTGGGGTCATCTGTTACGTGGCGCAGAGCACTAACACCATACCCGCAGTGTCACCACGGTGACTGATACTGTCCATCTTTCCTCGCTGGGCCCTGGTGGACGCACGTTGCCCGAGGCTGGCCACAGTAAAGAGACGCTGCCGTTTGGTCTCTAATAAGTTTCTTACGTTCCCTGAGAGGAGTAAAGCGTTGTTCTGATTAATTTCCGGCTCTGAGCTTGGGCTTTACATAAAGGATCTCTAGGAAGTCATTGAAACAATCAGCTCATGCAAAATGGTGGCACGGCCACATTAGATTAGCAGTTCATCTCCTCCAAGGACGCTATCAGGGAAAACAGCTGTAAACATGGCATGAATTCGATTCCAGCTAAGCACAGCAATCGCACTCGGCCTATTGATCTTGTCCCTAATAAATTAGTGGGTGAATGCCTGGCTGGGCAGGACGAAGGCTGCTGGAAATGCCTTACCTGCAAACACTCTGGAATGATCCGCTTCTCCACCCTCATTTTGCAGGACAGAGCTTAGGCAGTAATTCCCAGCTACCCCGGCCTCAGTGTTGACAGAAAGCAGTGCTTGCACCCCAATTAATGCATGGTTCATAGGGCCCCGTGGAGTTTGCACACTGACCGAAGCACACACAGATTAAGACAGAGCTGAGACGGGAGGAAGGAATACGTGAGCAACACTTCTGGGAAACCCACGTGAGCTCACGCTCGCTGACGCATTTTCAGGTAAGGATCAGACTTTTATCTTTTTTTTTTTTTTTAAGTACGTGTTGCTGGTTTGCTTATTATAAAATCTGGTAAACCATCATCAGTAAAAGAATCTGATGAGTAAAAAAAAAAATACCTTTATGTATATGGTAGATTCTCCTTAGAAAATGGGCAAACGGCGCTGTAATAAAAGAACAATATATAAAGTTGGATGTACAACGGTACTTACTTTCTAAATGCGGCCTTCAGCAATTTATTGACTACTGAAAAAAACATATGACAGCGTGAGGCCAGCAAGCAGCAGATAATAGACTATCTTGAAAGAGGATCCTTTATTCTGCACACAGCGGTAGGTGATAAATGGCTCTAATGCCAGTGGTTACTATTTTCCTCTCTCCTTCCCGGCAGCGTATCACAGATCAGAGACTAATAGCCCCCCAGGAGAGGGTTCTCGACACGGCCCCTCCATCTGGGAGAGCCGCGGTTATCAAACATCTGTCTGTAACTCGCAATGGGGACAGGCTGATAGCTTGTCATTTGTCTACCAAAAACACTTGGTATGTTCAGCTATAAAACAGGAGAAAGTAACATAATGTAATTTATTTGTGTAAATGGAAGAGGTTTTACGATCCAAGAGCCAGAGTTTAGCTAGAGGCCTTCACAGTTTAACTATTTCTCTTAATACATACCCCAAACAATAACGTCTGTCATAAAAATTCCCCACGGTGAAGGGTAAACTTATTTCTAAACTACCTACTAGCAAGCCTTATTTCAATCTTGTGCTTTAGGAAGAAAAGAAGCAAAAAAGGAAAGAAAAATAGAAAGCAAACGGGAAAGCACCATCAATTTCACAGCGACATTGAGTCTCGTGACATTTCCGGGGTCTCGTGGCATTCGGTGTACGTGTCAGCATTTCATGCAAGCAGGGCTTAATGTCAGGGTTTGAGACAGTTGCCTGAAACTTTTAATCCGTCTGCACAGGCCGGCCTGACCGCAAATGGGCCCACCTCTCACCGAGCTGAAGGTCGGGTCTCTGCTCAAAGCCATCGCCTTGGCGGTGCAGGTACTAAGTGGCCCCTTGTTAAGGGAATATACAACCGTAGTTACAACTTCCTTGTATTTCTTCAGTTGTCTTCAGGAGGAGAGCTCCTGCCTCTTCACAAACTCAACGGTAGAATGGAGGAATAATTCCATGAGAAGCATCCTGAGAGCTGTTAAAAGAATAGCTGCAAAAGCATTTTGAGAAAGGGATTTGAGAACCGTAATGAAGACAGGGAGCAGTGGAGGGCTCTCGAATCATCTAATAAATGGGAGAGATTAAGGGAAGCTGGAGCCCCGGGAGGTTGGTGGAGGGCATGAGACGGCTCCTGGGTGGCCGCCCCCTTGCTTGCGGCAGACGCTGGAAATGCCGCTCACAGTCCTGTCTGGGAAGGACGGGCCTTTCAGCACCCTGGCCACCGGCAGTGATGCAGAGGACAGCCAGCAGCTGCCTGGCCCCTGGACAGCCCTCCAGGCGAGGGCTCTGTGCTCCCAGGGCCACGTCCCCTCCTGAGTGGCCGACAGGGAGGGCCCCAGGCTGGACTGGATGGGCCGTGCCATTCCTGGGGTCCCTCCGTGCTGCCCGAGGGGCTCACCTCGGGTTTGGCGTCCTCAAGATCTGCACTGAAATTGTCCCCTCTGACCTTCCATACCCCGTTCAGGCACCACCTCTCCCAGGAAGCCTTTTGAAGCCCCAGCTTGACGAGGAGCCTCCCCGTCTGTCTCCACGGCACATCCTTCCTCGCGCTGTCACAGCCAAGGGTGTGTCCCAGGACTGCCGGCGCTCGGGCCGTGCGCGCAGCCCCTCAACAGGCTCCTATCGGGGCAGATTTTGCAGCTCTCCTTTCTTTAGGCGTTCAAAACAGTGCCTGGCACAGAGTGCAAATATGTTAATAAATACAATTTATCTTTGCTTTAAAAAATGAGTAAACGACCTATGTTCAAAGAGTGACACAAAGTTTCAGCAGAGCTTCCCTCCGTGTGCTGCAGGTCTAGAAATTGTCCTCGAGTTTAACGCTCTCCATGCTCACCTGTGCTTGCACGGGAGATGTGCCCGGGCCAATAAATCGCTCACGTCTTTTATAAACAGACCATCCTTCTGCCTCGATCAATCTTCTGTTGCCTTCAGAGTGTTACCAGCACTTATGGAGGACTAACACTCTGATACCAAGTTATCCTGACTCCTCTCTGCCCAGGCAAGGGATGCCCAACCCAGATCCCGACAGACAGCCAAGTGTGCTTTTGTGTCTAATGAAATAGCTTTTTTTCCCCCTAGTCTAGAAAAAAAACTAAAGAGAGTTAATTCTAAGAGTTACCTTTTTAGTGCCTTTGAAAACAGTCTCATTTCTAGCTTTTTGGACAAGGATTTAGTTTAGATCCAGATTAAAATTTAGCATACAAGAGGACTTATGATCAAAGAATAATAAAATCAGGTGATATGGTAAAGTCCAACCCTTTACCCTTCTTCAAAAAGCTGTTCGAAGAGGATGCCAGTTCCGAGGAAAGGATGTTCTTTCTGACAGTGACTGTCACACAAGTCCTGATTTGGAAACTGAGAATTGCTATTATTTTCCATCATTCTCCCAGTTGTCATTGTTTGGGTGCATTCTTTGTAAGCTCAATAGATGGGCTATTTATGGAGGGTTGCATTCCAGTGATATCCCTCTTCTTTATTACAAAGGGCTTTGCAAGTGCGTATTCTCTGGGATTATAGCCCCTAGAATTATGTGCATTTAGTTTTAAATAGTCTTCAAAGACTTCAAGCTACTGGTTTTTGTTAGTGGATTTGAAGACCCATATTAAGAAGTCTGATTGTGATGCTGTTTAATAATAATAAAAAAAAACACACCTGTGAGAACAGAAAGAGTTCTATGAAAAAAACAATATGATAAGGAAATATAAATTCTAGTCTCAGCTTTTTCACAATAATGATATTTGGATTCTGTCTTTTCCCCCCCAGGATTTCAGTTTACTTTGTATAAAATAAATCTATACAATGGCAACAAAATAAAATTTATAAAAGAAACTCTCCAATAAGAAAATAAAGAGCTCTGGGAAAATCAAATATAACAACTTTTAATATAACTCTTATATAATGAAAAATATAAGGAATTTTTTTCACAAAGTGTTACAAATCATCAAAACAAGGTCTGAGAGAGAAGAAAATGTAAGAAATTTATAGATCAATCCAAGAGGTTCTATATCCAATTAATAGGAGTTTCATAAAAAGAGATCGGAGAAATAACAAGTAGAGTATTTCAGTTCATATCAAAATCAGAGAATATTTCATGGAATTAAAATGCTTAATTTTCCAAATGGAAGCTGCCCACCAAAGCATGAAAGGCACATGGGGAAGAAATGGGGGGAAAAAAGTTTTATAAACTCCTGAAAACACAAAGGGTCTCCAGGTGCTGCCGGGTGAACATGGGGAATCCTGCCTGAGGCCCAAGTGTTCCACACTGTGTTACAACGATGCGTGGTATGAGGTGGTGTAAGGCAGACCTTCCTATCCATAGTATTGATAAAAGTAACAATAGAGAATATTTATCAGTGACTAATGGATAGATGAAATAGTATAAGATTCCAGCAAAAAATGCTGAAAGAGAGGTGTCATTGCCCAGGGGGAGATGGAGGTGGGTTGGGTACCGCTGCTTTGCATTATAAACCTGGTGACTCTATTTACCTTTTTACTCTATGTTGCATCCATTTGCTAAGGCTGCTATAGCGAAAGCACCATAGAGCAGGCAGTTTCCACAACAGAAGTTTGTGCTCTCACGATTCTGGAGGCTGGAAGTCTGAGATGGAGGTGTCAACAGGGCTGGCTCCTCTTCAGGCCTCTCGCCTTGGCGTGTAGACACCGTCTCCTCCCTGCGTCCTCACAGGGCCGTCCCTGTGTGAGTGTGTCCTCACCTTCTTGTAAGGACCCTGGTCCTATTGGCTCATGGCCCACCCCAAATCACACCTCAGTAAAACTGACTTTAACATTTTTATTTTATATTTTATCTTATTTTTTGAGACAGGGTCTCTCTCTGTCACGTGGACTAGAGTGCAGAGGTGTCATCATAGCTCATTGCAGCCCCCAACTCCTGGACTCCAGCGACCCTCCTGCCTCAGCCTCCCAAGTAGCTGGGACTACAGGAGAGCACCATCATGTTTGTTAACTTTTCTATTTTTAGTGGAGACGGGGTCTCACTCTTGCTCAGGCTGGTCTTGAGCTCCTGGCCGCAAGCAGTCCTCCTACCTCAGCCTTCCAGAGTGCTGGGGTTACAGACATGCGCCACCTCACCCAACGTAAAACGGATTTTAAATATATGTGCACTGGGAGGATTTGGAGTAAGTTTAATTTGAACAAAATACGATTTAAGTAAATTAATTTGAACAAAATACGATTTTGGAGACACTTGTTTTCTGGACTGTCATCCCTTAAATTACTTGGAGTAAGGACAGGCAGATCATGTTTTCCTGGGTAATATCTGAAGTTCTACAGACCCTGCTTACCCACTTTTATTCAGTTTTATTCGCCACACACAGGCATGTTCTGGGCAGGAAGTGGGGCGAGAATGATGTGGGATTTGTGATTGACAAGTGCAGCCCCGGGGACAGGAGGTGGGTGTGCAGCGTTACTGCTGGGAGAAGCAGGGGCTCCTGGCTGGTGTGGCCTCTGCCCCAGCCCCCCCCATCACGTCCCCATCCCTGTGGCTGTCCCCTGTCTGCTCTCCCACCGTGACTGCCCTGCTCCCTGACGTCGAGCACCAGAGGCAGGGTCGCAGCAGGGCTGACCCTCTGGAGCGCCCTTTTCCTGCGTCCTGTTTTCTGACAACCCTCTTGCAGGAATAACCTAAAGCACAAACTCCGCAGCGCCGGCAGGTCGCCACCTGCACACCCCAGTATTGCCAAGTGACATTTGGAACACGACAGGTCTCACCTCCAGAAACGCGTCTGAGCGATGTTGACAGCCCAAAGCCGGAGCCGGCCCATGC